TCTACATGATGGCTCTGAATAGCAGAAATTTCTTTGTATACAAAATTTTAGTCAATAGCTTTATCACAAAGAATTTGGTAACTGCTAAGAACTTTCTGGAATTATTCTTGGAGATTTTTTTTCCCCTGGGAAAAAGGGATGGAAAATTGACAGAATAATTCAGGTATGGGCTTTAAATCGTAAGATCTTTGAAGAACTGACCCCTTCTATGTGTTTGCCTGAAGGAACTGAATCACAGTTATAAATTGCTCAGTGACAGAGCTTCTGGAAGTCTTTTAAATAAAAGTGGAACTGGTTAAAATAAATGTAGGTACATGTGTTTTCACAGTCTTGCTCATATTATTGCAATTTAAAAAGTTTCAGTGAAGTACCAGGTGAACTTTCTTAAATTAAAAAAACATACAAAGTCAAAATTGGAGCAAATTTCAGATATTCAATTCCCATTTCTATACTGAAAAAACGAAGAACAGATGGTACTTTCCATGGTATTTGAATCTGGTTATTGAACACCTCTGCAGCTTGTGAGATTTTTTTTTTTTCTTAGCACTTTCAACATGCATTTAATTTACTTACCTATAAATGCTACTTTGCAAGGGGAAAAAAAGGTCTTTATATGACTGTAATTTCTTTGGTCTTGGAGCAAAATGATTGAACATGAAAAACACTCTTAATATAACATTTGGGAAATCAATCCTTTCCCTCTTATTTGCAGAGTTCCAAATTATTAAAAGTTGCTAAATAACTAATCCCAAAAGAAAAATATTTACTATTTCCAGTAACATAAACTAAATTCATGAACTTAAAAATGCATACTTTTTAATCCTTCACACTACCATAAATTATTTCAAATGCTACACTAGCTAAGAAGGAAATTCACCATGCTCCAAGGTTTTCTCAGAAAGCTTCCTTTGGCTAAGGGGCAGCACCTATTCACACGGCTCAGAAAGCACTGTCACAGTACTAGCAGAGACTATAGAAAATTAAGAACCTTGAACACTGCTTATTGTTAGACACCCAGAGTTATCAATGTTTTTAACAGCTAAATCCCTTATGTAGCTTTCAAAACAGTTTGCTGTCAAACAACAATGGCATTTGTTCTTTAATTACAGCAAGTGACCTTTCTGCCCTTTTATTTCACAGTGGATAAACTGCCCTCTCCAAGCAGAATTTGGGGGAAGGGAAACAGCTATTCGAAAAACATATTTCGTTTTAACAGAGGCATGTTCTTAAACTGTTCACCCCACTGACATAAAAAGCTGCTTTCAGGAGAAATGTTAATTACTGATATCCTTCAAAATATGTGTTAACCTAAAGGCAACATTCAGAACTCAGTTTTTATGAAAAATAAAATACATAGGGGAAATGAGTTAGACATTTATAATATTAGCAGACTAATTCCCGTAAAAGATACAAGACAGAACTACTTGGTCTTTTGCCTTTTTCATTTTTCATCAATATCTTCCTTTTAGAAGACTTAAAAAACCCTACATTTTGGAACTCTACAATCATTTGACACATACATACATGTGTGTGTGTGTATATATGTATGTATGTATACACACACACAAATATACATATATACACATATATGTTATATCTAGATATATAGATGTACAGATATGATCATTTAACCAAGCTGAACATTCCAATGTCCTAGAAGTTAAATTCATAACCTTCTGCAAGATGCTTCCTTTACCCACAATCGGAAGCTATTATTGTACTTCAAGGTGGTGGGGGAGGGGGGAGGGGAAGTAAGGATGGTTTAACACTACAAATTTAGGAGCTGTTAGACTACCTATCAAATCTACTTATTCAGACACGTCCCCAGTGGCATAACAACAAAAAAAATGGGCTGTATGAATATAGTTCAAATATCTTATAACTATAACATGTTTTACTTTGTTTCACATATTAAGGGAGTGGTGACTTCTACAGCATACTTGCAGTTTCAGCATAACAGAATCACTAGAACACATCCAGTCCTTAATAAGATATAATTTATCATGTGTTACATGACTTTCTGTGGTGAGGAAAACAAATAAACAGACCATAAATAGATAAGCATTCTGTGAAAAGTCTAACAGTGACAGTCACTTTTATGAATATATTTGAGACCTGCCAACAGAATAAGCAAATATAAACAATTGACCCCCTTCAGTTTTTATTTACAGTGAAAAATTATCATTCAGTTTTTTGTTGTAGTTAATTCTCTAAATCTGAACACCAAAAGTGTACATTTAAGTCTCTATCCCAAGATCTCAGGAATCATTTCTCCCGAGAATTTTCTGAAATACAGCTTCAACATTTAATTCACTATAAGTGAAAACTGTCTCAATCCTAAAATATTCTGTATATTCTTACGTCATGAGATAATATTTTCTGGACTGAAGTTTATTATTGCAACAAATCAAAGAAACTAAAGGTCTTCCAAGGGTACTATTATGCAGAGTTCTCCTTTCAAGTGCCAAGGTAAGGAAAGAGTCTTTAAAGAAATTGTTCCGCAATGGGGGTAGGGAGGAAGCCCTAAGGGATGTTGTTTAAGACACTAAGCCAACATGGCAGTTTGATAGACAATGACTAACACTACACAATTTGGCCATGTGAAGCCTTCCCTGAAGTCACAGTGTGCCAACAACAGTGGGTATCATTGGAAATGCAGCTATTATTTCAACAAGGTACAGCAATGAATAAAAACAGTGTTTTCTCTCTCCAATATAAAATGGCATATTTGTTCACAACTTAGGTTATACAAATTATTTATCACACTGACACTGCGCTGATTGATGATGACTTGCATATAGAGTAATAATTTAATTCTTCATGTAATTTCCTCTGTGACTTGAGAAAAGAACACAAAAACTGAAAAAAATTAGAGCATCTAACACTCTAATCTCTGTTGCCATGACAGCAGTCTTTGAGATACAGAAATGTCCCAATTGCCAGCTAAACAAAATTGTTGAATGTGAACATTTGGCTGAAAGATTAAAAGGCTAAGGGGGATGCAAAAGGGCAGCACCTCCCACATTCCAAGCAGCCACTGAATCCAATCAAATGCCTCTGACTCTTTAACCACAGCCATTGTGAAGACTGGATTAGAGCAATTTATCTAGATGTTTAAAGCAGATTAGAACTGCAATTTGAAGACAATTGGCAACAAAAAGTAAGTGTCCTACTGTACCAAGTTAATAATAAGATTTAAGGACACCTTTCAAATAAAATGAAGAACTGTATTAAGAGCAAGTTTATATTAAAGGATTACATCAATTTACTTTAAAATGGGATTATTTTACAAAGTTTAATGCTATTCATCAACAGTTAATTTTAAAAATGAAATACTTCATGTGAAATTTCTACACATTAGTAAAGCTCTACACAGTTTTCACAACTACAAAACCTAACACCAAAGAAGGAAAATTCATAAAGCAAAAGGGCTACCTAACTTTTGAAATGTCAGCTTAAATACTCAAATGCCACCTTAAATAGAAATCTAGAAGTTACTATGCAAATTAGTAATTAACCAACAATTTTATTGTCACAATTCTGGCCCGGAAAATTAGAGATGGGAAAGAGAGGGAATTTTAAGAACTTCTCTAGGAAATCATGACATAAGCCAACAGCAGGATAGTAGATTTGTTTTTGCAAATCACAACCTATAGAATTCTTTTGACATTTCATTGTAAGCTATGAGAACACACACCCCTACTCTCAACTAAATACATGGAAAAATCCTTTATCCTCTGGACAGAGCAATTTCTGCTCTTCAAGAGAGTCAATCTGAATTCAATGTGATGAAAGACTCTGACCTCACTTCCTAGGCAATAAAGGGAGTAGTTTGGCTTTTTTAAGTTTGGCTTTTTATCTATAAAATCTAATTACAAAATTAAGAGAAATTAATAAAAATAGACCATAATTGGGCAAGGAGGTGATGTGTGACTTATCCAGAATGATCAAATTCAACATTCCACTTCCTTTTTTTCCCGTTAGACATCACCTTAGTTATTTTTCCTATGTCATGCACACAACATAACACCCAACCTCCCTGTCTCATTTCATCTCTTCAATTTCAGCTTCAGCTGGTAAATGGTAGAAACCTAAGTAGTCACAAACCAATCAAGAGGAAAAGTGTCCCTCCCATTAGGGAGTTTTACACAGAGAAACAATATGTTGGTGAGGGTGATGCCATAGTATACAAGCACCTGTTTAACCTCATTCTGGATTTAATTTACTTTTATGAAACAGTACACTAAACATGGCATTTGGTTCATAAATGAGAGGAACATCTCTAACATAAATCTGTGCTGGGTTATTGAATCTACAGAAAAATTCCTTTAGAGAAGGTTAAAAAATATGAAAGCATACAAATTAGAATTCTTAACACACCTTTCCAAGGGAAGGACCCTTCAACCCAAGGAAACAACAGCAGAAATACTACTAAATGGAAAGAGTTAAGTGGGCTCATAAGCCTTCTCTCCCATTAAAAAGCACACACCAACTTACAAACTGGCCAGATGCCCATCTGCAGCAGAAAATGAACTTCTACTTCTGGGGGAATCTTATTGACTGACTCTCTCCCTCTCCCTCTCCCTCTCTCTCTTCCTCCTTCATTCCTTTCCTCTCCTCTCCCTCCCCCTCTTCCTCACTCTCCCTCCCTCCCCTCCCTTCCTCTCCCTCCCTCCTTCCCTGTCCCCTTCTCTATCTCTCCCTTTCTCTCTCCCTCTCTATTTGTAACACACAACAAACACACTCACACACATATACTTCCATCTATGAAGTGATCAATGCTGCCACAACAGCAATGATAACACCATTAGCTGTACAGAACTCCAGTAAATAATTCACTCAGTTATTAAATAATAATAATAATGATAATATGATACAAATGCTACTAAAACCAAAAGGCAAACTGTCTTAAGTTTATGGTATACATAGGTAAAGGTACCCACATAAAAACAAACAGAGAGGTACACAAGGTGAAGATCTAGGAAGGTGACTTGTCCTACCTTCTCTGTTTTCAGTTTCTTGATTCTCCTGTGGTTCTCCTCCTCCTCCTCTTCTTTCTTTACCAAAATAGAGTTCCCCAAGAGCCCTGAATCCGGGGCATTTTTGCTAACTTCCCCTCCAGTGGAGGAGGCGACACTCCCAGTGCCCCCACAGTGGTAGGGACTCCCGCCATCATTGCCCTTGGCCCCAAAGCCATACAGGTGTCCCCCAGAGGGGGCTTGGCCACCACTGCCATTGGTGTGGCCCTGAAGCAGGTCATGCTTGTCTTTCCTGGATTTCCCTGCATCCTTATCCCTTTTGGAGCCTCTATTGCTCTGACTTTTACCTGTTTTCTCCTCTTTATTTTTCCCACAAGAAGCTGCCCCTGTGGCAGCAATAGTGGTGCTGGTGCTGGTATTGGTATTATTGCTGTTTGGGTTGCCACAGCTGCTGCTGCTCACACTTTGACCCAGTGCTGAATTCATGCCAGTTGCCTCTCCAGGGCGCCCTTGGACTTCCTGCCTCTTACCAGCACTGCTGATCTCAGGAATCCCATACAAGGCAGCAGAAGGCAGAGATTTATTAGCATCCTTAGAAGTTTTACTCCTTTTCACTTTTGATTTGCTGGTCTCTTTGTGTGAATTCCCCTGGGGAGCAGAGGGATGAACAGAAGCAAATTTTAGGCCATCAGCTAAGACGGTGGTAGCATTAGCCCCACTGGAAGCCAAACTCCCACAATCCTTGGAGCTGCTGTTGCTAGTGCTGTTATTGGAATTATTCATCTCAAATTTCTGTCTGTCCTTCTCCAAATCAGCGTCCAAATCTATTATTAAATTCCCAACCCCAATTTCCCAATCATCACCACTGTCATAAGTATCAACTGTGTTTGGATCCACACCTTTTCCTGCTGTGGAAATGTTCACTGACATCCTGAAAACAAGATTTCTAGAATGAAAATCCGATGAACTTTCCTTTGGTGATGAGGGGACATTCGTTTATCTCCACCGGGCTTTTTCTTAAAGAAAAAAAAAGTCGTCTCTTCCACTTCTTTTTCCTGCCCCAGGTATGTGTCCCGGGTCTATACCCTTCAGTCCAGGTTCATCTTTTCCTGTGAGGGGGGGAAAAGTCGAATATTTCTTGTCTGGGTGTTACCAGAATATAATACAATTAATATTGGGGAGTCAGGGAGTAAATAAGGGATAGAAGGGTAAGGTATAGAATAAAGGTGGCTCATGTACTGTTTCCACTGTGCAAAGCAGGTTTCTGTGGTTTTGTTTTTCAAATAGGAAAATATAACCAAGATAAAAAATATATTTTAAAAATAATTTAATAATCTGATTCATATCCAGAAAGCTAAGAACAACCACACACACACACACACAAAAAAAATGAATTTGGGTCTGTACGACACCTAAAATAACAGGGAGAAAGAAGGAAAGAAAATAACAGTCCTAACCCTTCCTGAATTTCTTCAATTTTAGTTTTAAAAGATACGACCCTTGAAGTTTTAAAATTCGTTTTCAGGTTGGTCTCATTACTCTTTCTAAATTTTCCCCAATTTTTAATCTTCACCAAAAACAAAACAAAAAAAGAAAAAATTCTAGGCAATCTGCTTTTTTTTAAATTCAATAACAAAAAAAGAACCAACTCCTATACAAACATCTCACACCTCCTTTGTGTTGTGTGTGTGCCTGTGTGCTAGCCCTCAGGAATGAAAATTGCTGAAACAAAGAATGGGTGTCCTTTAGAAAATGTAACATCTAAAATAAGCCTCAAGTACTCCTCCTAGGTCACAGAATTGCTCAGTCGGTTAAATATAGTATTACTGACTGTATAGGAAACTGATTAAGACATACACTTTAAGTGATCTACACCAAGGTGGCCTCAGTGACCGCAAATGAGTGTGTGTTTGACAAAGATCAGTTAAAATGGTTTTTAAAGGGATCTTTCCCTTTTTTAAACAGTTGATTGTCAAATATCATATATAGATAGATAGATATACATACACACACATATGGCTTACCTTTAATCCTTTATCATTTTTAATTAGGCCAGCAAATCACAATGCTGTTCCCACTCGACTCAGCAACAACCCTGTGCCTCATTTTACTTAAACATCAAATGATCAAGAAGCAGAAACCAAGTAACACATCTCAGTCAGAATAATCACTCGATAACATTATCCCCCTAGCACACACACACACACACACACACAGACACACACACACACACACAGAGCACACACACACACACACACACACACTCCATTCCTTCCCCTCCCCTTTGGCAAACGCATAAGGAGTCCTTTTCTCCTCAAAAAATATGTTACTGTACAGCTGGAAGATAATGTTTCACATTCAGAACAGAAGCACCAAGGGTGTTTTTTTTCCTCTTAACAAGCATCAAGAATGATAGCCAAAAAATGGCTTTAAAAAGTTTTCCCAACTTAACATTCCGTCTTCAATTCCAGCCTGGAGTCATCGTGATCAGTAAGTAATGATCCCGTGTAACCAACCTACAGGCGTCCAGTTCATAACAAGAAAGAATGTGCTAACATCAGGACAAATTAGTGAAAGGAAAGAAGAAAGAAAGCACTGAAAATCTGGGCTGGATTTTTCCTGTTAGTCGGGAAGTGGCATTTTTTTTTTCGCCCGTCCTGACAGATTTGTTTCTTGAACTAACTTGAGACAAGGGCTTGAGGAGCGGGGGGGGGGGGGGGGCTTTGGGGGGGGAGGGAGTAAGAAGGGATGGGTTGGAGGAGGGGTGTTTGGAGAAGAAGAGAGAAAGAAAAGGGTCTGGGTGAATGATTCAGTGATCTGATAAATCACTTATAAAAACATTTGTTCAGAAGGGGGCTTGGTCTTTTTCCGTTTTATGTTTAACAACATGAAGGGGAAAAAAAATTTCCAAGTGCTGTCCAAGAGAAGGAAAATTCCACTGTCATTCATGCCAATCGGTCATGTGGTAACTTGGTAATTAGAGTCCAAAAAGAAAAACGCGACCTTTTTCAGGACGGTTTTTCTTGCTGCAGCAAATGGCGCATCTCCCTTTTATTTATTTTTTCTCTCCCTCCGCTCCCTACCCCACCCCCTCCTGCATTAGTCTGATGGTCTTGGAGGTTGGCTTAGTATTTTTAATTAGCTGGCGTTTGGAACCTAAAAGCTGTAATGAATTGTTGATGGATTGAAGGTAAAGAGTGGGTCTGCAGGAAATGTCGGTGGGGGGATGGGCGAGTTAGCAACAACCAACCATCTAAAAGGAACGATTTTGTTACAGTTCAAGCCTTTCACATCACGTGAGGATCAAGGGCTCAATTGGTTGTCGTGAGAACAAAAATGGGTGACAAGCGTATCCAGAAAATACTGATCTGGTCTTTAAAAAAAATCTTAAAGTCTGTTCCCTCCCCCCCTCCCTCCCTCTCTCTGCTCCCCCTCCCCCCACTCTCGTCTCCAATTCCTCCTTTATACCCTCCTCCTCCTTCCACTGTTGGCACAGCTACAAGTTATGAATGTGAAACATTTCTCCGAGAACAAGAACCCTGAAGTTAGGAATGAGTGAAATGTACTGAACACGAAGGCAAAACATATGTTTTAAAGAAACACGTTATAAACCTTTCCTCAAGTTATCTCCAATTTGTAGTAGTTTAAGAAGGGGTGGGGGTGGGGAGCGGAAACAGGAAGGGAGAAAGGGAAGATGGGGGAAGATAGGGGGAAGAAATGGATAATAAAGCAAAACATTTGCTAGCTTCCAGACTAACTTCTGCAATAAACACATCATCGTGGCTGTTAGTGGATTTATTTGGGTTGGGTTTTTTGTTGTTTAATGGTGGGTTGCTCTTGGCTTTCTGAAAGAGGTGGAAAAATGGTAATAATAACCATTATTAGTAATGAGTGTTTTCCCTCGTACAGTATCAAATATTCGACCCTTATTAAGTGACAGGGGATAAAAATCGGTTCGTTCCCGTGTAATCACTTCTATAGCTCCCAGGATCTTTCTTCATGGGAGCTACTTGTTTCTGTATGTAAGCGCAGGCGGTTGGGTGGGGTAGGAGAATGGAGACTATGCAGACTGGTATGTAATTGTGTCACTTTTATTCTCCTGGTTAGTAAAAAAAAAAACCCTCAAAAGGTAATATACTTTAAATACTCCCCTCCCCCCTCCCACTCCCGATCAAGCCTAATTTGTGTGAAGAGGCTTCACCCTGTTTAATAAAGCTAATCCTTTCGTGTTTTGTTTTGTTTTGTTTTTTAATTCGAGCAAAACACTGTAATGGCAACGCATAAAACTCGTACATTCCCCTGCATGAAATCCCCTCTACGTGCTATATACACACCATTAAACCGTACTTACGGTCTGTATTGGATCGAGTTGACCTTTTCCTTCTACCTGCATTGAATATGTTTTGTTGCAGCCGCTTTATTTTTAAAATTATTATCTCTTCAATAAATTTATTAAGACGGACCATCAAGTGTCACAAACCTTCCTTTTTTTAAAATTAAAAAAAATAAAAACAAACAAAAAGCCCCCTGTGCACCAATATACAACAAGCCTATACTGCAAAATTGAAATCAGAACTGAACGCACATACATATACACAGAGGGAGGAGAGTAGAGCAAAAAGAAGCTCGCTGTATACCTGAAAGGGGCTTTTCTTTGTTCCCAATTCTCTTTCTCATTTGACCAATCAGAATCCAGCTTTTATGAAACCGAGCCCTATGATTGGCTAGATGCTTTCTCTTGGCTACTGTAGAGGGTTGAGATACACACACATACAAAAACACTTGGGGGTGGGGGACAAGTAGAGAGAAAGGGAGAGGGAAAGGAAGTAGGAGGGGTGTCTAGGAAAAAAAAGCGTTTTATTTTGCAAGTATCAGTACACTAGATAGGGGTTGAGAAACCTGCAATAAAATAAAATCATGCTGCCATTTCAATTACTGCATCATCCACTCAACATTTTATTTATTTATAACAAATCTTAAACACTGGGAACAGAAGGTGTCGGTAAATGTGCGATTGTGTCATATTAGGAGAAAAAATACTCGTATCCAGTGACCGGAAAACCAGTGACTTGATCAGTAAGGAGCTAGGAACACCGTTTTGCTGCCTTTATCATTGAAACAACCATTGCTGCCTTCTCTCTTAGGATTTAGTTATTTTCAAACATTCTTTCCAAGCACAGAGCCCTTTCTACAAATGTTTTCTTGTGTCTCTGTTTATTCGATGGTTGAATAAGAAAAAAATCGGATTGAGAATAAAGGCAGTGGAAACCCTTTTGTTTCCAGACTCCAAATCTGCAGGCACTGAAGTGTGAAGGCAGGCAACCATGCAACCATATAACCACTATGTGAATTCACAGAAATTAGAAACAATTTTTTTTCCACCTGGCTCTGTGTATCCTTTAAGAAAAAAAAAATTCTTGACATATTTCCATCTATAACTAGCTTCATTTTTCATGAAAGTACTACATGTAGATTTTTTTAAAAAATTAATCTATAGGCTACCTTAAATGTTCCACAGGCCTATATTGTTAAATTGAGAAGAGTTTCCAGTCCTCTTCAAATCCTCAACCCTCCTGCCCTTCCATTGGGATGGTACTTGATGCTATTTGATATTCTGACTTGATAGCAACAGAAAATACATCATCTTAAAAAATATCATAGAGGAGTTTAAAAATTATTACAGCCAACATTTATAAAGTATTTTACTGGTTAGCAAAGCATGTTAAAAATATCTCACTGATCCTCATAACAACCCTAAGAGGTAGGTGCTATTATTCTCATTTTACAGATAATGAAGCTGAGGCATAAAAAGTAACTTTCCCAGAGTCATTCAGCTAATAGTATCTGAGGCAAGAA